CCCCCGCCCCACAGCTACCCACTTCCCTCCCCTTCGCCTCAGAACGCACCCCACGGCCCGAGCCCCCCGCCCCACAGCCACCCACTTTCCCTCGTCCTTCCCCTCAGAACGAGCCCCACGGCCCGAGCCCCCGCCCCACAGCTACCCACTTCCCTCCCCTTCGCCTCAGAACGCACCCCACGGCCGCGCCCCACGGCCCGAGCCCCCGCCGAGCCCCCGCCCCACAGCCACCCACTTTCCCTCTCCTTCCCCTCAGAACGCGCCCCACAGCCCGAGCCCCTCGCCGAGCCCCCCGCCCCACAGCCACCCACTTTCCCTCCCCCTTCCCCTCAGAACGCGCCCCACAGCCCGAGACTGCCCCCGCCGAGCCCCCCGCCCCATGGCCGAGACCCACGGCCGAGACCCACAGCCGAGCCCCCCGCCCCACGGCTGAGACAGCCCCGCCGAGCCCTCCGTCCCACGGCCGAGACGCCCCAGCCGAGGCCCACGGCCGAGCCCCGCTGAGCCCCCGCCCCACAGCCACCCACTTTCCCTCGTCCTTCCCCTCAGAACGCACCCCATGGCCGAGCCGCCCGCCCCACGGCCGAGATGCCCCCGCCGAGTCCAGGGCCAGCCCCCGCCGAGCCCCCTGCCCCATGGCCGAGACAGCCCCGCCAAGTCCAGGGCGAGCCCCCCACCCCCTGGCCGAGCCCCCCGCCCCACGGCAGAGTCGCCCCAGCCGAGCCCCACGACCCGAGACTGCCCCCGCCGAGCCCCCCGCCCCACAGCCACCCACTTTCCCTCCCCCTTCCCCTCAGATCGCGCCCACGGCCCGAGCCCCCCGCCCCCACAGCCACCCACTCCCTCCCCCTTCACCTCAGAACGCGCCCCATGGCCAAGCCCCCCGCCCCACGGCCGAGACAGCCCCGCCGAGCCCCCCCCCCCCGCCCCACGGCCGAGACGCCCCCGCCGAGCCCCCCCGCCCCGCCCCGAGACGCGTCCACGCCCCGAGACGCCCCCGCCCCACGGCCGAGCCCCCCACCAAGCCCCCGGGCCAGGCCCGAGGCGGCACCCGCCGAGCCCCCGGGCCAGGGCTGAGACGGCCCCCGCCGGGCCCCCTGCCCCAGGGCCGAGACGGCCCCCGCCGAGCTCGCCTCCAGTGTGGCTAACTTTCATGGTTGTGTTGTGAGCCATATGACAAGGATTGTTCTCCTTAAAGCCCCTGCTCCTGGAATCACATGGATCTGTGGTGAGTTCAGCCGTCGTTCTCCGTGGGGGTGGTGAATGCTTCCCAAGGTGCCCAAAAGGCTCGGAGAACAGAGGTCGACTCACAAGACCACCGGGTCTATTGTTTTTACATAATGCCATGACTTTTGGGGAGCTCTGTCGTTATTTTTGGACATTTGGGAACACTGTGCCTGAGCGCCAAGATGGCCACCGGGCCCACGCCAAGCCCACCTCAGCGCCAAGATGGCAGCACGGGACGGGTGGGGAAGTACAGCTGGCTGGACGTCTTAGCCAAGCAGCCCGAGCAGGTTGCCCCAGCCGCGCTCCAGGCCCCACCGTGGGTTGGGGCCCTCTGGGCTGGGGCGCCCTGGCACCAGGCAGAAACCAGCCCCCAACTAGAGACATGGACCATGCAAGCTCAGGGACAACAGGAGGGATTGGGAGGGCGTAGGGGGGCAAATAATGGGGAGGTAAAGCATGGGAGGAGGGAGGTACAGACGCCCCCCAACCCCGGCCATCACCATGAGTGGGATGGGGGCTCAGGCCCACAGAGGCGGTTGCAGGGGGCTGGTCCTGGCTGGAGCGAGGGGTCAGGGGTCCCCAGGTCAGTGTCCATGGGTCCGAGTTGGGGAGCTGTGTCCGCGGAGGGACCTTCCCAGCACTGGCCCCACCACCCCGCCCGCATCACTGACCCACATGCCCCTCCACCCCGGCGTCAGCCCACCCACATGGCTGACCCACATATGCCCCTATGCCAGCGCCGGCCCCGCGAGCTCCACTGACCCACACGCCCCTCCCCCCAGCTGTGCCAGCCCCACCAGCACCACTGACCCACACACCCCTCCCAAAGCCATCAGTGAAGCGTCAGGCATGGCTGGTCACCCCCGGGGGGCAGGGGGGCTCAGCTGTGCCCCCAGAGTAACAAGCCAGCAGTTCTTTGCAAGGAGAGCCCCCCCCCATCACCCCAGAATTCCAGCACAGGGGCTGTCTGGTAACCATGACAATCTGGGTGACCAGATACCACCACATTTGGGTCTTTTTCCTATGCAGGCTCCTATTACCCCCCACCCCCTCTGCCGATTTTTCACATTTGCTGTCTGGTTACCCAAGGAGGCAGGCAGGGCCGGGTTAGCAGGGACTGAGGTCAGGAGTGAGGGGCACCTGCAGGGCCGTGGGGCAGGGCTGGCTAGCAGGGGCTGCAGGTCGGGAGGGAGGGGCACTGACGGGGCCGTGGGGCAGGGCTGGGCTAGCCGGAGCTGCGGGTCGAGAGTGAGGGGCACCGCCAGGGCCATGGGCAGGGCAGGGCTGGGCTAGCAGGAGCTGTGGGTCGGGAGCGAGGGGCACCAGCGGGGCCGTGGGGCAGGGCTGGGCTAGCAGGGGCTGCGGGTCGGGAGTGAGGGGCACCGGCAGGGCCGTGGGGCAGGGCTGGGCTGCCAGGGGGCTGCGGATCAGGAGTGAGGGGCGCTGACGGGGCAGTGGGTTCGGAGTGAGGGGCACCGGCGGGGCCGTGGGGCAGGGCTGGGCTAGCAGGGGCTGCGGGTCGGGAGTGAGGGGCACTGGCAGGGCCATGGGGCAGGGCAGGGCTGGGCTAGCAGGGGCTGCGGGTCGGGAGGGAGGGGCACCGGCGGGGCCGTGGGGCAGGGCTGGGCTAGCAGGGGCTGCGGGTCGAGAGTGAGGGGCACCGGCGGGGCCGTGGGGCAGGGCTGGGCTAGCAGGGGCTGCGGGTCGGGAGTGAGGGGCACCAGTGAGGCTGTGGGGCAAGGCTGGGCTAGCAGGGGCTGCGGGTCGGGAGTGAGGGGCACTGGCAGGGCCGTCTGGGCTAGCAGGGGCTGCGGGTCGGGAGGGAGGGGCACCGGCAGGGCCGTGGGGCAGGGCTGGGCTGGGCTAGCAGGGGCTGCGGGTCGGGAGTGAGGGGCACCGGCAGGGCCGTGGGGCAGGGCAGGGCTGGGCTAGCAGGGGCTGCGGGTCGGGAGTGAGGGGCACCGGCAGGGCCGTGGGGCAGGGCTGGGTCCAGGGGCTGCGATCAGGAGTGAGGGGCGTGACGGGGGTGGGTCGGGAGTGAGGGGCACCGGCGGGGCGTGGGGCAGGGCTGGGCTAGCAGGGGCTGCGGGTCGGGAGTGAGGGGAGGAGGGCGTGGGGCAGGGCTGGGCTAGCAGGGGCGCGGGTCGGGAGGGAGGGGAGGCAGGGCGTGGGGAGGGGGGCAGAGGGGCGCGGGTGGGAGTGAGGGGCACCGGCAGGGCCGTGGGGCAGGGCAGGGCTGGGCTAGCAGGGGCTGCGGGTCGGGAGTGAGGGGCACCGGCAGGGCCGTGGGGCAGGGCTGGGCTGCCAGGGGGCTGCGGATCAGGAGTGAGGGGCGCTGACGGGGCCGTGGGTCGGGAGTGAGGGGCACCGGCGGGGCCGTGGGGCAGGGCTGGGCTAGCAGGGGCTGCGGGTCGGGAGTGAAGGGCACCAGTGAGGCTGTGGGGCAGGGCTGGGCTAGCAGGGGCTGCGGGTTGGGAGTGAAGGGCACCGGCGGGGCCGTGGGGCAGGGCTGGGCTAGCAGGGGCTGCGGGTCGGGAGTGAGGGGCACCGGCGGGGCCGTGGGGCAGGGCTGGGCTAGCAGGGGCTGCGGGTCGGGAGTGAGGGGCACCAGTGAGGCTGTGGGGCAGGGCTGGGCTAGCAGGGGCTGCGGGTCGGGAGGGAGGGGCACCGGCAGGGCCGTGGGGCAGGGCAGGGCTGGGCTAGCAGGGGCTGCGGGTCGGGAGGGAGGGGCACCGGCAGGGCCGTGGGGCAGGGCTGGGCTAGCAGGGGCTGCGGGTCGGGAGGGAGGGGCACCGGCAGGGCCGTGGGGCAGGGCTGGGCTAGCAGGGGCTGCGGGTCGGGAGGGAGGGGCACCGGCAGGGCCGTGGGGCAGGGCAGGGCTGGGCTAGCAGGGGCTGCGGGTCGGGAGGGAGGGGCACCGGCAGGGCCGTGGGGCAGGGCTGGGCTAGCAGGGGCTGCGGGTGGGAGGGAGGGGCACGGCAGGGCCGTGGGGCAGGGCTGGGTAGCAGGGGCGGGGTCGGGAGGGAGGGGAGGCGGGGCCGTGGGGAGGGCTGGGCTAGAGGGGTGCGGGTCGGGAGGGAGGGGACGGGGGGGTGGGGAGGGCTGGGCTAGAGGGGCGGGGTCGGGAGGGAGGGGAGGGGGGGTGGGGAGGGTGGGTAGAGGGGCTGGGGTCGGGAGGAGGGGACGGCAGGGCAGGGGCAGGGAGGGCTGGGCTAGAGGGCTGGGGTCGGGAGGAGGGGACCGGCAGGGGTGGGGAGGGCTGGGCTGAGGGGCTGGGATCAGGGTGAGGGGGCTGAGGGGTGGGTCGGGAGTGAGGGGCACGGGGGGGTGGGGAGGGCTGGGCTAGCAGGGGCTGGGGTCGGGAGTGAAGGGACCAGTGAGGCTGTGGGGAGGGTGGGCTAGAGGGGCTGCGGGTTGGGAGTGAAGGGACGGGGGGCGTGGGGAGGGCTGGTAGCAGGGGGGGGTGGGAGTGAGGGGAGGGGGCGTGGGGAGGGCTGGGCTAGCAGGGGCTGCGGGTGGGAGTGAGGGGACCAGTGAGGCTGTGGGGAGGGTGGGCTAGAGGGGGCGGGTGGGAGGAGGGGCACGGCAGGGCGTGGGGCAGGGAGGGCTGGGCTAGAGGGGGGGGTGGGAGGGAGGGGCACCGGCAGGGCGTGGGGCAGGGCTGGGCTAGCAGGGGCGCGGGTCGGGAGGGAGGGGCCCGGCGGGGCCGTGGGGCAGGGCTGGGCTAGCAGGGGCTGGGGTGGGAGGGAGGGGCACCGGCGGGGCCGTGGGGCAGGGCTGGGCTAGCAGGGGCTGCGGGTCGGGAGGGAGGGGCACCGGCAGGGCCGTGGGGCAGGGCAGGGCTGGGCTAGCAGGGGCTGCGGGTCGGGAGGGAGGGGCACCGGCAGGGCCGTGGGGCAGGGCTGGGCTAGCAGGGGCTGCGGGTCGGGAGGGAGGGGCACCGGCGGGGCCGTGGGGCAGGGCTGGGCTAGCAGGGGCTGCGGGTCGGGAGGGAGGGGCACCGGCGGGGCCGTGGGGCAGGGCTGGGCTAGCAGGGGCTGCGGGTCGGGAGGGAGGGGCACTGGCAGGGCCGTGGGTGGGAGGGAGGGGCGCCAGGCCAGGCCTACTCCGAGGTTTGGCACAGCAGTGGTTAAGGCAGCCGGGGGAGGGGACAGTGGCTCAGCCAATGGCTGCGCTGCGTGGCCGAGGCCGTGGGGTGGTGCTGTGGAGGCGGCTGGGGTACGCCAGGCCCGGCCATGGGGCCCGGGGACCGTGCGGCGCTCCTGCAAGTGGCCTGGACAGGGTGGCTGTGGAGGTGGGGTATGGGCACTATGCAGAGCCCCCCGTGCCCTGGCTGCCCCCCACCCTGGCCGTGCCCTGCAAGTCGCTGGTGAACCTGGGCCACATGGTGCTGGGCTGGCGCTGCTTCCCCTGGGCTGGCCACGGGCACCGCCGCTGCTGCTGGCCGGCTTCGCCCTGCTGGCCCTGGCCCGTGGGCCCGGCTCTGGACCCAGCACCTGCGGGCGGCTGTGCTGGGCCAGTGGGTCACACCTGCCATCTTCGCCTGGCGCCCTTGCTTGGCGTGGGGCTGGCAGCCCGGCCGCGGGGCGCTGGGGGCCGCGCTGCTGCGCTACGGGCTGGCGGTGGCCCACACACGTGGCTTTGAGGTGGCCCTGGCGGCCCACGTGGCAGGTGTGGCGGTGCCAGGGGGACGTGGGCTCGGCCTGGACCACAGCAGCCGGTTTCGCCGCCTGCAGCTGGGAGGTGCCTGGCTGCCCCGTTCCGGAGACCCAGCGGCCACTTCCGGTCCAAGGCGTGTGACGGGCTGCAATTCCCCCGCGCCTGGGAAGGGGCCCAAGGCCCCGGCCCCCCCTGGCCCTGCCCGCCCTGCCCCGCCCTGCCCCGCCCCGCCCCTGGGGCCAGGACAGCGGGCATCCTCCCCCCCCAGCTGGGGGACGGCCTCCAAGCAGAATAAGGAGATGGGCGTGGCAGATTTCTGCCCGTGGCTTACTGAAGGGGATGCTGTGCTGGGAGCAGGTCCTGGGGCTTAGTGGTGGATTTCTGGCCGGGCACAGGGGGGGCTGCCTAGACAGGCTGCACCCCAGCAGATAGGCAGCCAGCAGCGGGTGAGGGGTCCCCCTATAAATGGCCCCCCCGGCACAGACTAAAAATATATAAAATGTTTTATTTTTCCAGTGATGGTTCTGTGACCCCCCACCCCCAGGACGCAAGCCGTGGGGCTCCAGGAAACGTGAACCTTCACAGACACCTGGGTCCTATGGAGCAAGGGGGAGCCGCGTGGTGGGGGGTGGGCACGAGCCCCTGAGTACCAAGGTGCCACCTCCCCCTGCACTTCAAAGGCGCCTTCTCGGCTGCCTGGGCCCCATGCCCGCTGGAGGGGAGGGGAGGGGAGGAGAGTGTCTGCCCCTCCATTCAAAGTCACCTCCCGGACGCCTGGGTCCCTGGATTGAGGGGGGGTTCTAGCAGCCTGGAGGTGCGTTTCGGGGTGGGGCTTGCCCCCACATCGCTGAGAACTTCATCCTTCCATATCTGTCCATCCTTCTCAGGGCTCAAAATCATCACTCTCCTCGGGCAGGCGGGGGGCCGAGCCTGCAGGGGAGGGGAGAGGGGTCAGAGCCATTGCGGGGGACAGAGACCCCACCCCCACCCGGGGCCTCCCAGGCACGGAAAGAACCACCCTCGGGGGAAAGGAGCTAGAGGGGGGAGTTTTATGTCACCCCCCCCCCCCGCACCCAGGGGCTGCTGGGAGGAGTGCGGTTACCTGCCGGGAGCTCGGAGGCCAGCACCCCCAGGCTGTCCAGCGCCCCCTGCTGGTACAGCGCCAGCCGCTCCATGATGCGCTGCCGGGCCGGGTTGATGTGAATCTGGGGGTGCAGGGACGGGGCAACACCTGCAGAGAGAGCAGAGGTCAAGGCACCCTGCCTGGGTCAAAAGTCACCAGACTGAGGGGTCAGAGGTTACAGCAAGCATGGGGTAAAGGGCCATGTCAGCTGGAGTCAAAGGTCACCCAGGCCAGGGTCCAGCAGGAGCAAACACTGTGTGCCTCAGTTTCCCCATGTGCAATGAGGGAGTGGGAGGGGCGTTTGTTGCTGCAGGGGACTAGGTGTGACCTCACCTGGCAGCCAGGACCCCAGATACTGGCCTGGAGACAGGGGACCCAGAGACTGGTGCCCAGGAGGACCCCCAGCTCAGGAGCAGCCGCTTCTGGCCAGGGGGGCAAGGGCCTGAGGGGCCTGGCGACCAGTTCCGGTGGGGGGCGGGGGGAAGGAGCTGGAGCCCCTGGGGACCAAGACAGGCCCAGCTGGGGTCAGATGTGCAGTGTGACCCTGGTGACTCCTGCCGATTGGGCGGGCGGGGTGCCTCGGAGGCCCCTCCCCCTCCCTCCCTCAAGGGGCTGGGGCTGGGGGGTTGCAGGCTCCGGGAGGGGGCTCTGGGCTGGGGTTTGGGGTGTGGAGAGGGAGGGGGAGGGCTCCAGCCAGGGATGAGGGGTTCGGGGTTCCAGCAGCGCTTACCGCGGCTCTGTGCTGCCCTCGTGCCCGCAGCTCCCATTGGTCGCGGTTCCCAGCCAATGGGAACTGCGGAGCCGGCGCTGGGGGTGGAGGCAGCGCAGGGAGCCTCCCTGGCCGCCAAGCACCTCAGGGCTGCAGGCGCCTGCTGGCTGCCCCCGGGGGGTGCATGGAGCCACAACCGGAGCCACCAGGGTCCCTTTTCCACCGGGTGGGGGCCCCGGAGCCCAGAGGAGGGGACACCCCGAGGGGCCCACAGCAGAGCCAGGCTGCTGGGGGCTCAAGGTTGCAATCCCAGGGGGCCCCCAGCGAGAGCAGACCCCCGAGAGGTCTGGGACAGGGGTCAAAGGGCACTTTGGGGAGGACAGTGGGGTCAGAAGTCACCCCACAAGGACAGGACTCACCCAACCAGCTGCCCCCCTCCTCCGACAGGCTCTCGTCGCTCTCCACAGGCTGGTTGGGGGGCAGCTCCGGGGCCCTGGGGAGCGAGTCCCCCTGGGGGATCGAGGGGGGATCCCAGGGCAGCGACTTCTGTAGCCGCTCTAGGTCCTCATACACCTAGGGGGACAGGCAGAGCCAGGATGAGAACCCAGGAGTCCGGGCTCCCAGCTCCCCCTGCTCTAACCTGCCAGACCCGGCTCCCCTGCCAGAACTGGAGAGAACCCAGGCATCCTGGCTCCCAGCTCCCCCTGCTCTAACCCCCCCCCAGACCCTGCTCCCCTGCCAGAGCCGGAGAGAACCCAGGCATCCTGGCTCCCCCTGCTCTAACCCCCCCCAGACCCCGCTCCCCTGCCAGAGCCGGAGAGAACCCAGGCATCCTGGCTCCCAGCTCCCCCCGCCCCCCCCCCCCTGCTCTAACCCCCCCCCAGACCCCGCTCCCCTGCCAGAGCCGGAGAGAACCCAGGCATCCTGGCTCCCCCTGCTCTAACCCCCCCCCCAGACCCCGCTCCCCTGCCAGAGCCGGAGAGAACCCAGGCATCCGGGCTCCCCCTGCTCTAACCCCCCCCAGACCCCGCTCCCCTGCCAGAGCCGGAGAGAACCCAGGCATCCTGGCTCCCAGCTCCCCCTGCTCTAACCCCCCCCAGACCCCGCTCCCCTGCCAGAGCTGGAGAGAACCCAGGCGTCCGGTACCTGGGCCATGGGCGGGCGCCGTTTGCTGCGTTTCTGGAGGCAGTGGGTCGCCAGCCGGCCCAGCGCAGGGCCCAGCCCCTCCGGACACGGCCCGACCCGCGAGTCCACGTGGCTCCGGAAGATCCTGGTGCCGACCCGAGTCGCCCGAGCGTCCTGGTCTGGGCCCGTCCCCGCCAGCTGCGATCGCCCGGGACCCTCGCCCACCTCAGCCTCCTCCTCCTCTGCGACCAGATCCTTCTGTGGGGTGGGGGGGGTCGGGGGTGAGGGGCACCAGCAGGGCTGGGGGGCAGCCCGGGGCAGCTGGGGGTGGGAGGTCGGGGGTGAGGGGCACCGGCAGGGCTGGGGGGCAGCCCGGGGCCGGGGTAGCTGGGGGTGGGAGGTCGGGAGTGAGGGGCACGGGGGGGGTCAGCGTCTCTCACCAGGAACTTTGTCCGTCCGCGTCCGTCTGTCTCCAGGGCCCGTCTCCCCGTCAGCGTTTCCAGCAGCACCTAGGGGGCCGAGGGGGTTGCTGAAGGCTCCAGCATGGGAGGTTGGGGGGGTGGCGGGAAGATCCCCCCCCCATCCCTCATGGGAGACCCAGGTCGGGTTAGTCTGAGCTCTTAGGGGGAGGGGTCCGGGAACTCCTGCTCCGTTTCCTCCCCCCGGATACCTGACCCCCCAGGCAAGAAAAACGGGGAGTCTGACCCCCTGAGGTTGGGGGGGTCTAGTGGAGGGGTCTCAGGCAGGGGAGCACGTGGGGGCTGGTACTCACCACACCGTAGCTATAGGTGTCGATAGCGGGGGACAGGGCCCCGCTCTGCACGTACTCGGGGGGCAGGTAGGCCAGGGTGCCCCGCACCGTGTGGGTCCGGCCCAGGCTGGCGCTGAGCCCCCCGCTCCCCGCCCGGCCCCGCCCGGCCCGCGCCAGCCCGAAGTCGCCCAGCCGGGGGCGCAGCACCTGGTCCAGCAGGATGTTCGAGCTGGGGGGAGGAGACATGGGGTGAGACATGGCCCCCGCAACGCCCCCTGCTGCCCTCCTCCCCAAGCCCCGCTCCCCGGGCCCCCACCCCGCGCCCCCCACGAACCCCCTCACCTCTTGATGTCCCCGTGGATCAGGCTGGGTGTGTCGTGGTGCAGGAACTGGACGGCTCGCGCTGTCCCCACCAGCACCTCCAGCCGCTGGGCCCACGTCAGGGGGGGGCGCCCGCCCTGGGGGAGCAGAGGGGGGTGAATGGGGGAGGGCCCCTCACGCTGGGGGGAGGGGCCATGTCCTGCTTCCCTTAGGGCGAGGGAGGAGGGGGCCCAAGGCTGTGTCCCCAGGGAATGGGACTGGGGGGTCCTGGAGCCCAGGCAGCCTGAGCCCCGGGGGGGCTGGGAGCCGAACAACCCACCTGGAGACTCCTGCCCGGGGGGCCCAGCACAGCCCCCTCCTCCCCAGCCCCGGCCCCGGCCCCCGCCCTTTGCAGCTGGGGGGGTGGCTCCCAGGGGTGGGGGTTACCTGGCCACTCAGCCGATCCTCCAGGGACCCGTTGGGCATGAAAACGTAGACGAGGCAGAAATGGTCCCGCTCGGCGCAGAACCCCCCGAACTCCACGATGTTGGGGTGCCGGAACCTGGGGGCGGGAGTTAGTGGGGGAGGGTCACCCCAAATTCCTGGGGCCAGGGTGAGTGCAAAGCATTCTGGGTAGGTCCCAGGGCGCTGGTCCCACTGGAGCCCCTCGCTCCCGCCCGTAGCCCCCCGCTCCCACGGCCGGCACCCCTCGCTCCCGACCCGCCTGGCCCGGTCCCGCCCGCCCCGTAGCCCCCAGCCCCGCCCGGCCGGTGCCCCTCGCTCCCGCCCGGCCCCGCCCACCCCCTCGCTCCCGCCCCGTAGCCCCCAGCCCCGCCCAGCCAGTGCCCCTCGCTCCCGACCCGCCCAGCCCGGCCCCGCCCACCCCCTCGCTCCCGCCCCATAGCCCCCAACCCCGCCCAGCCAGTGCCCCTCACTCCCGGCCCCGCCCACCCCCTCGCTCCCGTCCGTAGCCCCCAGCCCCGCCCGCCTGGCGCCCCTCACTCCTGACCGGCCCGGCCCCGCCCGCCCCCTCGCTCCCGCCCGTAGCCCCCAGCCCCGCCCGCCTGGCGCCCCTCACTCCTGACCGGCCCGGCCCCGCCCGCCCCCTCGCTCCCGCCCCATAGCCCCTCGCACCCGACCCGCCCGGCCCGGTCCCGCCCCCTCGCTCCCGCCCCATAGCCCCCAGCCCCGCCCGGCCGGAGCCCCTCACTCCCGACCCGCCCGGCCCTGCCCGCCCCCTCGCTCCCGCCCCATAGCCCCCCGCCCCCATGGCTGGCGCCCCTCACTCCCTATGACGAGGTGGGGATTTCCCCGCGTGAGGGGGAAGGGGAGTCTGTTCGGGACGAGCACCGGGCAGGGCAGGGGCCTGGCAGCTGGAAGGAGTCGGTCTCGGCTGGCTTGGGGTGTGGGGGAGGGGGCGACGGGGCCCAGAGCCCCGGCTCTGGGCTCCCTCCCCCCCAAGATGGGCTTGGCTGAAAGTCACCGATTTCTGTGCTGCCGAGCTCTGTTCTACGCCACGTTCCACACACTGCCCGAGAGTCCCGTCTGGGGGGCAGGGCCCTCTGGCCCCCCCAGGACCCCGCCCCGGGGGACGGGCTGCGGGAAGTGCCCGGTGGGGCAGGGGAGGCTGGAGGCTCCGGGGCCGGACCCGGGACGGTGGAAGCTGGGGCAGTGTCTTGCCCTGGGGACAGTCGGCGCCGAGAGGGGAGGGTCCCCAGAGTCCTGCCCGGCTTCGTGGGGAGCAGCCCCGGGCCCGGCCGGCGCCCCCTCACTCCCGACCCACAGCCCCCCCTCACCGTGACAGTTTCTCCACCTCGGTGAGAAAGCTGCTCCGGATGCTGCTCCAATCTAGCTCCAGGTCCTGGAGAAATGGGGGGTTAAATGAGAGTCAGGTCACCAGCCCCACAACCCCAGGGGACACAGGGAAGGGAAGGGGGCAGAGTAAAGGATTCTGGGGCGGGCCCAGTGCGAGTGGGGATTTGTGGGTTTTGAGTGGACAGGAGGAATGCAAAGGATACTGGGTAGGGCCCCCCCACCGAGGATGCTGGGTAGGGGCCCCCGTGTCCCCCAATACCTCCTTCAGCCGCTTGACCGCGTAGTCGGTGTTGCGCAGCCGGGCCCGGTACACGCAGCCGAACCCGCCTTCCCCGACCTTATGCCGCTCCGCGAAGCCATCCGTGGCCTGCACCAGCTCCGCCAGGGGCCAGGCAAAGGGCTGGGGGGCAGGGCCCAGCGCCAGGGGGGCGGGGCCCAGAGACTCCACCCCCTGCAGGGGGAGAGAGAGAGACACACACAGGGGCAGCTCCGGGCCCCCCCGCAAGCAACAGAGACCCCAGAGTGCTACGGATTCTGGGTTGGACCCAATCAGACCCCTCCGCCCCCCTGCCACCATGGGCAAGACACCCCCCACAACTCCTGCCACCCAGGGCTCTCCCCCGTTATCCATCCCTGCCCCCCTACTCAGGGCTCCTCCCTGCCCCCTCCATCCAAGCACCCCCCACCTTCCCATCTCGGTACCTGGTCGGCAGGGGGGGCTGCGGGTGGAGGGCCGGGACCCTGGGTCCTGGTGCTGAGCAGGCTGCTGGGTGGGGGGCCAGGCAGAGGCAGCGACGGGCAGGAGGGCTCTGGGGGGGGCAGAAACAGGGAGTCTGTTAGCAGGGGAAGGGGAATGGGGAGAGCTCCACCCCCCAAGATTCAATTCCCCACCCCCAGGGGGAAGGGGGTGGAGTTACCTGGCGGGGGCTGCGGGGGTGGTTTGGGGGGGTCCCAGGTAACGGTCCAAGCTCTGCTGTCACCGGTGGGGGGGTGGGGGGCTGGAGGAGCTGAGGGAAGAAACGGGGGTCTCAGGACAGGGGGCTCGGAGGGAGGCTGCCCTGGGAAACAAAACGGGGGGTTAAAGATGGCAGCCATGCACAAAGGAACCTGACTCCACTAATCCGTCAGCCCTAAACTCCGCCCCCCACATGCCCCCACCCTTCATAGGGACCCTGGGATCCCACCACCCAGAGGCCAGGGCCGGGCTAGAAGGGGCTGCGGGTCGGAAGCGAGGGGCACCGGCAGAGCTGGGGGGGCAGGGCCGGGCTGGCAGGGCCTGGCTGACGGGGGCCGTGGGGTGGCCGTGGGGGCACGGGGCTGCGGGTCGGGAGCAAGGGGCACCGGCAGAGCTGGGGGGGGGCAGGGCTGGGCCGGCAGGGCCTGGCTGACGGGGGCCGTGGGGCGGCCGTGGGGGCAGGGGGCTGCGGGTCGGGAGCGAGGGGCACCGGGGGGCAGGGCCGGGCTGACGGGGGCCGTGGGGCGGCCGTGGGGGCAGGGGGCTGCGGGTCGGGAGCGAGGGGCACCGGGGGGGCAGGGCCTGGCTGACGGGGGCCGTGGGGCGGCCGTGGGGCGCTCACAGCTGGCCAGCAGGTCGCGAGCCCGGTACAGCTGCAGCTCGTCCAGCAGCGCCAGCAGCTCCCCGACCCGGGCGTTTCGGTTCGTCCAGGCCCAGAGCAGCCGCTGGGTCCGTCCGTCCGTCCCCTCGCACAGACGCAGCTCGACCTGGTCCCGCGCGATCCGCGAGGCTGCGGGGAGGGGGCAGGTGTCAGCGGCCCAGCCCCCCCCGGGTTCCTCCCTCGGTCCCCCCTCCCTCCCAGTGCGGCCCAGCCCCCCATTCCCTCTCTCGGTCCCCCCTCCCTCCCAGTGCGGCCCAGCCCCCCATTCCCTCTCTCGGTCCCCCCCTTCCCCCCAGTGCGGCCCAGCCCCCCCCATTCCCTCTCTCGGTCCCCCCCTCCCCCGCAGTGCGGCCCAGCCCCCCCCGGTCCCTCCCTCGGTCCCCCCCTTCCCCCCAGTGCGGCCCAGCCCCCCATTCCCTCTCTCGGTCCCCCCCTCCCTCCCAGTGCGGCCCAGCCCCCCCATTCCCTCTCTCGGTCCCCCCTCCCTCCCAGTGCGGCCCAGCCCCCCCATTCCCTCTCTCGGTCCCCCCCTCCCCCCAGTGCGGCCCAGCCCCCCCCCGGTCCCTCCCTCGGTGCCCCCCTCCCCGCCAGTGCGGCCCAGCCCCCCCGGTCCCTCCCTCGGTGCCCCCCTCCCCCCAGTGCGGCCCAGCCTCCCCCCCGGTCCCTCTCTCGGTCCCCCCCTCCCCGGCAGTGCGGCCCAGCCCCCCCCGGTCCCTCCCTCGGTGCCCCCCTCCCCCCAGTGCGGCCCAGCCTCCCCCGGTCCCTCCCTCGGTGCCCCCCTCCCCCCCAGTGCGGCCCAGCCCCCCCATTCCCCTCTCTCGGTCCCCCCCCCTCCCCCGCAGTGCGGCCCAGCCCCCCCCGGTCCCTCCCTCGGTCCCCCCCTCCCCCCAGTGCGGCCCAGCCCCCCCCGGTCCCTCCCTCGGTCCCCCCCTCCCCCCAGTGCGGCCCAGCCCCCCCCCCCCGGTCCCTCCCTCGGTGCCCCCCTCCCCGCCAGTGCGGCCCAGCCCCCCCGGTCCCTCCCTCGGTGCCCCCTCCCCCCAGTGCGGCCCAGCCTCCCCCCGGTCCCTCTCTCGGTCCCCCCTCCCCGGCAGTGCGGCCCAGCCCCCCATTCCCTCTCTCGGTCCCCCCCTCCTCTCCAGTGCGGCCCAGCCCCCCCCCCCGGTCCCTCCCTCGGTGCCCCCTCCCCTCCAGTGCGGCCCAGCCCCCGCCCCCGGTCCCTCCCTCGGTGCCCCCCTCCCCGCCAGTGCGGCCCAGCCCCCCCGGTCCCTCCCTCGGTGCCCCCTCCCCCCAGTGCAGCCCAGCCCCCCATTCCCTCTCTCGGTCCCCCCCCTCCCCCCCAGTGCGGCCCAGCCCCCATTCCCTCTCTCGGTCCCCCCTCCCCCCCAGTGCGGCCCAGCCCCCCATTCCCCTCTCTCGGTCCCCCCCTCCCCGCCAGTGCGGCCCAGCCCCCCATTCCCTCTCTCGGTCCCCCCCTTCCCCCCAGTGCGGCCCAGCCCCCCCCATTCCCTCTCTCGGTCCCCCCCTTCCCCCCAGTGCGGCCCAGCCCCACCCCCCGGTCCCTCCCTCGGTCCCCCCTCCCCCCCAGTGCGGCCCAGCCCCCCCGGTCCCTCCCTCGGTGCCCCCCTCCCCGCCAGTGCGGCCCAGCCCCGCCCCCGGTCCCTCTCTCGGTCCCCCCTCCCCCCAGTGCGGCCCAGCCCCCCATTCCCTCTCTCGGTGCCCCCCTCCCCTCCAGTGCGGCCCAGCCCCCCCATTCCCTCTCTCGGTCCCCCCCTCCCCCCCAGTGCAGCCCAGCCCCCCCATTCCCTCTCTCGGTCCCCCCCTCCCCCCAGTGCGGCCCAGCCCCCCATTCCCTCTCTCGGTCCCCCCCTCCCCCGCCAGTGCGGCCCCAGCCCCCCATTCCCTCTCTTGGTCCCCCCCTCCTCTCCAGTGCGGCCCAGCCCCCCCCCCCGGTCCCTCCCTCGGTCCCCCCTCCCCCTCCAGTGCGGCCCAGCCCCCGCCCCCCGGTCCCTCCCTCGGTGCCCCCTCCCCCCCAGTGCGGCCCAGCCCCCCATTCCCTCTCTCGGTCTCCCCCTCCTCTCCAGTGCGGCCCAGCCCCCCCCCCGGTCCCTCCCTCGGTGCCCCCCCTCCCGCCAGTGCGGCCCAGCCCCCCCCCGGTCCCTCCCTCGGTGCCCCCCTCCCCCCCAGTGCGGCCCAGCCTCCCCCGGTCCCTCTCTCGGTCCCCCCCCTCCCCGGCAGTGCGGCCCAGCCCCCCATTCCCTCTCTCAGTCCCCCCCTCCTCTCCAGTGCGGCCCAGCCCCCCCCCCGGTCCCTCCCTCGGTGCCCCCTCCCCTCCAGTGCGGCCCAGCCCCCGCCCCCGGTCCCTCCCTCGGTGCCCCCTCCCCCCCCAGTGCAGCCCAGCCCCCCATTCCCTCTCTCGGTCCCCCCCCCTCCCCCAGTGCGGCCCAGCCCCCCATTCCCTCTCTCGGTCCCCCCCTCCCCCCCAGTGCGGCCCAGCCCCCCATTCCCTCTCTCGGTCCCCCCCTCCCCGCCAGTGCGGCCCAGCCCCCCATTCCCTCTCTCGGTCCCCCCCTCCTCTCCAGTGCGGCCCAGCCCCCCCCCCGGTCCCTCCCTCGGTCCCCCCCTCCCCTCCAGTGCGGCCCAGCCCCGCCCCCGGTCCCTCCCTCGGTGCCCCCTCCCCCCCAGTGCGGCCCAGCCCCCCCATTCCCTCTCTCGGTCTCCCCCTCCTCTCCAGTGCGGCCCAGCCCCCCCCCCCGGTCCCTCCCTCGGTGCCCCCCTCCCCGCCAGTGCGGCCCAGCCCCCCCGGTCCCTCCCTCGGTGCCCCCCTCCCCCCCAGTGCGGCCCAGCCTCCCCCCGGTCCCTCTCTCGGTCCCCCCCTCCCCGGCAGTGCGGCCCAGCCCCCCATTCCCTCTCTCGGTCCCCCCCTCCTCTCCAGTGCGGCCCAGCCCCCCCCCCCGGTCCCTCCCTCGGTGCCCCCCTCCCCTCCAGTGCGGCCCAGCCTCCCCCCGGTCCCTCTCTCGGTCCCCCCCTCCCCGGCAGTGCGGCCCAGCCCCCCATCCCCTCTCTCGGTCCCCCCTCCCCCCAGTGCGGCCCAGCCCCGCCCCCCCATTCCCTCTCTCGGTCCCCCCCTCCCCCCAGTGCGGCCCAGCCCCGCCCCCCGGTCCCTCCCTCGGTGCCCCCTCCCCCCCAGTGCGGCCCAGCCCCCCATTCCCTCTCTCGGTCTCCCCCTCCTCTCCAGTGCGGCCCAGCCCCCCATTCCCTCTCTCGGTCCCCCCCTCCTCTCCAGTGCGGCCCAGCCCCCCCCCGGTCCCTCCCTCGGTGCCCCCCTCCCCGCCAGTGCGCCCAGCCCCCCCGGTCCCTCCCTCGGTGCCCCCTCCCCCCCAGTGCAGCCCAGCCCCCCATTCCCTCTCTCGGTCCCCCCCTCCCCCCCAGTGCGGCCCAGCCCCCCATTCCCTCTCTCGGTCCCCCCTCCCCCCCAGTGCGGCCCAGCCCCCCATTCCCTCTCTCGGTCCCCCCTCCCCGCCAGTGCGGCCCAGCCCCCCATTCCCTCTCTCGGTCCCCCCTTCCCCCCAGTGCGGCCCAGCCCCCCCATTCCCTCTCTCGGTCCCCCCCTTCCCCCCAGTGCGGCCCAGCCCCACCCCCCGGTCCCTCCCTCGGTCCCCCCCTCCCCCCAGTGGGCCCAGCCCCCCGGTCCCTCTCTCGGTCCCCCCCTCCCCCCAGTGCGGCCCAGCCCCCATTCCCTCTCTCGGTGCCCCCCTCCCCTCCAGTGCGGCCCAGCCCCCCATTCCCTCTCTCGGTCCCCCCCTCCCCCCAGTGCAGCCCAGCCCCCCCATTCCCTCTCTCGGTCCCCCCTCCCCCCCAGTGCGGCCCAGCCCCCCATTCCCTCTCTCGGTCCCCCCCTCCCCGCCAGTGCGGCCCAGCCCCCCATTCCCTCTCTTGGTCCCCCCTCCTCTCCAGTGCGGCCCAGCCCCCCCCCCCCGGTCCCTCCCTCGGTCCCCCCTCCCCTCCAGTGCGGCCCAGCCCCGCCCCCCGGTCCCTCCCTCGGTGCCCCCTCCCCCCCAGTGCGGCCCAGCCCCCCCATTCCCTCTCTCGGTCTCCCCCTCCTCTCCAGTGCGGCCCAGCCCCCCCCCGGTCCCTCCCTCGGTGCCCCCCTCCCCGCCAGTGCGGCCCAGCCCCCCCCGGTCCCTCCCTCGGTGCCCCCCTCCCCCCCAGTGCGGCCCAGCCTCCCCCCGGTCCCTCTCTCGGTCCCCCCCCTCCCCGGCAGTGCGGCCCAGCCCCCCATTCCCTCTCTCAGTCCCCCCTCCTCTCCAGTGCGGCCCAGCCCCCCCCCCCCCGGTCCCTCCCTCGGTGCCCCCTCCCCTCCAGTGCGGCCCAGCCCCGCCCCCCCGGTCCCTCCCTCGGTGCCCCCCTCCCCGCCAGTGCGGCCCAGCCCCCCCCGGTCCCTCCCTCGGTGCCCCCCTCCCCCCCAGTGCAGCCCACCCCCCATTCCCTCCGTCGATGCCCCCCAGTGCGGGCCAGGGCCCCCCCATCCCTGGCCCCCAGCACACCCCAGGACCCCCCTCCCCCCCAGGGTACCCCGGCCCCTCCCCCTCAGGGGCACCCCCGGGCCCCGTACCGAAGCGCTCCCAGTCCGCCCGGTCCAGCGCGTCCATGAGGCGGCAGAGGCCGCAGACCAGCCAGGCCGGGAGCTCGTAGAGGAACCGGCCGGAGCCGCGGCCGGGGCCGGGGCCGGGGCCGGAGCCGGAGCCGGAGCCGGTCCCGGCCATGCCCCAGTCGCCGGGCACTTCCCCTTTAAGACAGAACGTTTAACGGCCGATTGCGCATGCGTGCAGCGGAGACCGGCCGCTTCTCTACGCCATCTTGGGAGTGGCAAATTCTGCGCAAAGAGCGATTTGCCGCCATGTTGAGTGCGGCGGAGTCTCCAGCCAGGCCCATTGCGTTGATGGTGGCGCCGCCATGTTGGGTGTGCAGGGTTGGTCGCACGTCGCCATTTTGAGTGTGGCTGCTTCCCCACTACGTACAACCAGCTGAGCGTGTGTGGCTCCGCCATCTTGAGTGTGGCATGAGTCCGTGGCTCTCCAAAAAGCGCTCCGCGGACGGGCTATGAAAGGGGAGGGGCTACAAGCGGGGGCGGAGTAATAGGAGGGGTTGGGGCGGGGCCGTGGGGAGAGGTGGGGTGGTGTTTGGGGGGGGTTGGGGGAGGAGGCAGGGCAGGGGGATTACAGGGAGAAGCTGGTTTTGGGGAGGAACGGGGCAGGGCTATGGGGGGGGTTGGAGCGGTGTCTGTGAGGAGGGGGGTTTGGGGCAGGATCTGTGGGGAGGGATGGGGGAGGAGGCAGGGCAGGGGAACTGTAGGGAGAAGCTGGTTGTGGGGAGGAATGGGGCAGGGCTATGGGGCAGTGTCTGTGAGGAGGGGGTTTTGGGGCAGGGTCTGTGGGGGAGGGATGGGGGGAGGAGGCAGGGCAGGGGGACTGTAGGGAGAAGCTGGTTGTGGGGAGGAATGGGGCAGGGCTATGGGGGGGGGGGCAGTGTCTGTGAGGAGGGGGTTTTGGGGCAGGGTCTGTGGGGAGGGATTGGGAGAGGAGGCAGGGCAGGGGGATTACAGGGAGAAGCTGGTTGTGGGGAGGAACGGGGCAGGGCTATGGGGGGGTTTGGGGCAGGGTCTGTGGGGAGGGGGTTTGGGGCAGGGTCTGTGGGGAGGGATTGGGGGAGGAGGCAGGGCAGGGGGATTACAGGGAGAAGCTGGTTGTGGGGAGGAACGGGGCAGGGCTATGGGGGGGGTTGGGGCAGCGGTGTCTGTGAGGAGGGGGGTTTGGGGCAGGGTCTGTGGGGAGGGATGGGGGGAGGAGGCAGGGCAGGGGAACTGTAGGGAGAAGCTGGTTGTGGGGAGGAATGGGGCAGGGCTATGGGGCAGTGTCTGTGAGGAGGGGGTTTTGGGGCAGGGTCTGTGGGGAGGGATTGGGGGAGGAGGCAGGGCAGGGGGACTGTAGGGAGAAGCTGGATGTGGGGAGGAATGGGGCAGGGCTATGGGGCAGTGTCTGTGAGGAGGGGGTTTTGGGACAGGGTCTGTGGGGAGGGATTGGGGGAGGAGGCAGGGCAGGGGGATTACAGGGAGAAGCTGGTTGTGGGGAGGAACGGGGCAGGGCTATGGGGCAGTGTCTGTGAGGAGGGGGTTTTGGGGCAGGGTCTGTGGGGGAGGGATTGGGGGGAGGAGGCAGGGCAGGGGGATTGTAGGGAGAAGCTGGTTGTGGGGAGGAACGGGGCAGGGCTATGGGGGGGGTTGGAGCGGTGTCTGTGAGGAGGGGGGTTTGGGGCAGGATCTGTGGGGAGGGATGGGGGGAGGAGGCAGGGCAGGGGGATTGTAGGGAGAAGCTGGTTGTGGGGAGGAATGGGGCAGGGCTATGGGGCAGTGTCTGTGAGGAGGGGGTTTTGGGGCAGGGTCTGTGGGGGAGGGATGGGGGAGGAGGCAGGGCAGGGGGATTGTAGGGAGAAGCTGGTTGTGGGGAGGAACGGGGCAGGGCTATGGGGGGGGGTTGGAGCGGTGTCTGTGAGGAGGGGGGTTTGGGGCAGGATCTGTGGGGAGGGATGGGGGGAGGAGGCAGGGCAGGGGGACTGTAGGGAGAAGCTGGATGTGGGGAGGAATGGGGCCGGGCTATGGGGCAGTGTCTGTGAGGAGGGGGTTTTGGGGCAGGGTCTGTGGGGGAGGGATTGGGGGAGGAGGCAGGGCAGGGGGATTACAGGGAGAAGCTGGTTGTGGGGAGGAACGGGGCAGGGCTATGGGGCAGGGCTGGGGCAGTGTCTGTGAGGAGGGGGGTTTGGGGCAGGGTCTGTGGGGAGGGATGGGGGGAGGAGGCAGGGCAGGGGGATTGTAGGGAGAAGCTGGTTGTGGGGAGGAATGGGGCAGGGCTGGAGCAGTGTCTGTGAGGAGGGGGTTTTGGGGCAGGGTCTGTGGGGAGGGATTGGGGGAGGAGGCAGGGCAGGGGGATTGTAGGGAGAAACTGGTTGTGGGGAGGAACGGGGCAGGGCTATGGGGGGGGTTGGAGCGGTGTCTGTGAGGAGGGGGTTTTGGGGCAGGGTCTGTGGGGAGGGATTGGGGGAGGAGGCAGGGCAGGGGGATTGTAGGGAGAAGCTGGATGTGGGGAGGAATGGGGCAGGGCTATGGGGCAGTGTCTGTGAGGAGGGGGTTTTGGGTCAGGGTCTGTGGGGAGGGATGGGGGAAGGAGGCAGGGCAGGGGGATTGTAGGGAGAAGCTGGTTGTGGGGAGGAACGGGGCAGGGCTATGGGGGGGTTGGAGCGGTGTCTGTGAGGGAGGGGGGTTTGGGGCAGGATCTGTGGGGAGGGATGGGGGGAGGAGGCAGGGCAGGGGGACTGTAGGGAGAAGCTGGATGTGGGGAGGAATGGGGCAGGGCTATGGGGCAGTGTCTGTGAGGAGGGGGTTTTGGGGCAGGGTCTGTGGGGAGGGATTGGGGGGAGGAGGCAGGGCAGGGGAACTGTAGGGAGAAGCTGGTTGTGGGGAGGAATGGGGCAGGGCTATGGGGCAGTGTCTGTGAGGAGGGGGTTTTGGGGCAGGGTCTGTGGGGAGGGATTGGGGGAGGAGGCAGGGCAGGGGGATTGCAGGGAGAAGCTGGTTGTGGGGAGGAACGGGGGCAGGGCTATGGGGGGGGTTGGGGCGGTGTCTGTGAGGAGGGGGGTTTGGGGCAGGATCTGTGGGGAGGGATGGGGGGGAGGAGGCAGGGCAGGGGAACTGTAGGGAGAAGCTGGTTGTGGGGAGGAATGGGGCAGGGCTATGGGGCAGTGTCTGTGAGGAGGGGGTTTTGGGGCAGGGTCTGTGGGGAGGGATTGGGGGAGGAGGCAGGGCAGGGGGACTGTAGGGAGAAGCTGGATGTGGGGAGGAATGGGGCAGGGCTATGGGGCAGTGTCTGTGAGGAGGGGGTTTGGGGCAGGGTCTGTGGGGAGGGATTGGGGGGAGGAGGCAGGGCAGGGGGATTACAGGGAGAAGCTGGTTGTGGGGAGGAACGGGGCAGGGCTATGGGGGGGGGTTGGAGCGGTGTCTGTGAGGAGGGGGGTTTGGGGCAGGGTCTGTGGGGAGGGATTGGGGGAGGAGGCAGGGCAGGGGGATTACAGGGAGAAGCTGGTTGTGGGGAGGAACGGGGCAGGGCTATGGGGGGGGGTTGGAGCGGTGTCTGTGAGGAGGGGGGTTTGGGGCAGGGTCTGTGGGGAGGGATGGGGGGGAGGAGGCAGGGCAGGGGGACTGTAGGGAGAAGCTGGATGTGGGGAGGAATGGGGCAGGGCTATGGGGCAGTGTCTGTGAGGAGGGGGTTTTGGGGCAGGGTCTGTGGGGAGGGATGGGGGGAGGAGGCAGGGCAGGGGGATTGTAGGGAGAAGCTGGTTGTGGGGAGGAACGGGGCAGGGCTATGGGGGGGGTTGGAGGCGGTGTCTGTGAGGAGGGGGGTTTGGGGCAGGGTCTGTGGGGAGGGATGGGGGGGAGGAGGCAGGGCAGGGGGACTGTAGGGAGAAGCTGGATGTGGGGAGGAATGGGGCAGGGCTATGGGGCAGTGTCTGTGAGGAGGGGGTTTTGGGGCAGGGTCTGTGGGGAGGGATTGGGAGAGGAGGCAGGGCAGGGGGATTACAGGGAGAAGCTGGTTGTGGGGAGGAACGGGGCAGGGCTATGGGGGGGGTTGGAGCGGTGTCTGTGAGGAGGGGGGTTTGGGGCAGGGTCTGTGGGGAGGGATGGGGGGAGGAGGCAGGGCAGGGGGACTGTAGGGAGAAGCTGGATGTGGGGAGGAATGGGGCAGGGCTATGGGGCAGTGTCTGTGAGGAGGGGGTTTTGGGGCAGGGTCTGTGGGGAGGGATTGGGGGGAGGAGGCAGGGCAGGGGGATTACAGGGAGAAACTGGTTGTGGGGAGGAACGGGGCAGGGCTATGGGGGGGGGTTGGAGGCGGTGTCTGTGAGGAGGGGGGTTTGGGGCAGGATCTGTGGGGAGGGATGGGGGGAGGAGGCAGGGCAGGGGGACTGTAGGGAGAAGCTGGATGTGGGGAGGAATGGGGCAGGGCTATGGGGCAGTGTCTGTGAGGAGGGGGTTTTGGGGCAGGGTCTGTGGGGAGGGATTGGGGGGAGGAGGCAGGGCAGGGGGACTGTAGGGAGAAGCTGGTTGTGGGGAGGAATGGGGCAGGGCTATGGGGCAGTGTCTGTGAGGAGGGGGTTTTGGGGCAGGGTCTGTGGGGAGGGATTGGGGGAGGAGGCAGGGCAGGGGGATTACAGGGAGAAGCTGGATGTGGGGAGGAATGGGGCAGGGCTATGGGGCAGTGTCTGTGAGGAGGGGGTTTTGGGGCAGGGTCTGTGGGGAGGGATTGGGGGGGAGGAGGCAGGGCAGGGGGACTGTAGGGAGAAGCTGGTTGTGGGGAGGAACGGGGCAGGGCTATGGGGGGGGTTGGAGCGGTGTCTGTGAGGAGGGGGGTTTGGGGCAGGGTCTGTGGGGAGGGATGGGGGGAGGAGGCAGGGCAGGGGGATTACAGGGAGAAGCTGGTTGTGGGGAGGAACGGGGCAGGGCTATGGGGGGGTTGGAGCGGTGTCTGTGAGGAGGGGGTTTGGGGCAGGGTCTGTGGGGAGGGATTGGGAGAGGAGGCAGGGCAGGGGGATTACAGGGAGAAGCTGGTTGTGGGGAGGAACGGGGCAGGGCTATGGGGGGGGGGGTTGGAGCGGTGTCTGTGAGGAGGGGGGTTTGGGGCAGGGTCTGTGGGGAGGGATTGGGGGGAGGAGGCAGGGCAGGGGGATTACAGGGAGAAGCTGGTTGTGGGGAGGAACGGGGGCAGGGCTATGGGGGGGGGTTGGAGCGGTGTCTGTGAGGAGGGGGGGTTTGGGGCAGGGTCTGTGGGGAGGGATGGGGGGAGGGAGGCAGGGCAGGGGAACTGTAGGGAGAAGCTGGTTGTGGGGAGGAATGGGGCAGGGCTATGGGGCAGTGTCTGTGAGGAGGGGGTTTTGGGGCAGGGTCTGTGGGGGAGGGATGGGGGGAGGAGGCAGGGCAGGGGGACTGTAGGGAGAAGCTGGTTGTGGGGAGGAATGGGGCAGGGCTATGGGGCAGTGTCTGTGAGGAGGGGGTTTTGGGGCAGGGTCTGTGGGGAGGGATTGGGGGGAGGAGGCAGGGCAGGGGGATTACAGGGATAAGCTGGTTGTGGGGAGGAATGGGGCAGGGCTATGGGGCAGTGTCTGTGAGGAGGGGGGTTTGGGGCAGGATCTGTGGGGAGGGATGGGGGGAGGAGGCAGGGCAGGGGGACTGTAGGGAGAAGCTGGTTGTGGGGAGGAATGGGGCAGGGCTATGGGGGGGGTTGGAGCGGTGTCTGTGAGGAGGGGGGTTTTGGGGCAGGATCTGTGGGGAGGGATGGGGGGAGGAGGCAGGGCAGGGGGATTACAGGGAGAAGCTGGTTGTGGGGAGGAACGGGGCAGGGCTATGGGGGGGGGTTGGAGCAGTGTCTGTGAGGAGGGGGGTTTGGGGCGGGGTCTGTGGGGAGGGATTGGGGGAGGAGGCAGGGCAGGGGGACTGTAGGGAGAAGCTGGATGTGGGGAGGAATGGGGCAGGGCTATGGGGCAGTGTCTGTGAGGAGGGGGTTTTGGGGCAGGGTCTGTGGGGAGGGATTGGGGGAGGAGGCAGGGCAGGGGGATTACAGGGAGAAGCTGGTTGTGGGGAGGGGGGTTTGGGGTGGGGTCTGTGGGGAGCAATGGGGCAGGGTGATGGGGGGGTTTGGAGACAGTAGCTGTGGGGAGGGAGGCTGAGAGCCGTGGAGGAGGATTTATGGGAAGGGGGCGTGGCCCATCCCCCTCTATTAGTTCGCCCCAGAAAACCGTGATGTCAGCAGGCCATTATGATGTCACAATGACACATGGCCTGAAGATGGATCCCCAGGTTTTGCTGCCATCCCGGATACCTGGGTCCCATTCCTAGTTCCAGTCTCTCTCCCCAGCTCTGGGAGGGGAGTGGGGTCTAATGGGTCAGAGCAGGGAGGGCTGGGAGCCAGGACACCTGGGTTCTCTCTCTGGCTCTGGGAGGGGAGCAAGGTCCGGTGGGTTGGAGCAAGAGAGACTAGGAGCCAGGATTCCTGGGTTTTCCCTCTGGCTCTGGGAGGGGAGTGGGTTGGGGGGCAGGGAGCCCGGACTCCTGGGTTCTAGGGGTAGTCCTACAGCCCTTCACAGTTCCTACATTGGTACTCCGGATTCAACAAAGCCCTCTCGCCAGCTGCTGGGACTGGGACCGACTGGCAGCCTAGGTTGATTCATTCATGCTGCCCCCCGTGGGCCCCTGATTCTTCAGTCTCTGACCCCACTGCAATCAGGGGTGACTCTGGATTGACCCAGGGTAGCTGAGATCAGAATCCAGCCCTGCCCCTCTGCAATCAGGGGTGACTGTGGTATGGCCCCGGGGGAGCTGAGATCCAAATCTCACTGTAGGAAGAGCACTCAGGGTACGTCTACACTGCAGCTGGGGCAGCCTCCCAGCTCAGGAAGCCAGACTCGTGCTAGCTCAGCTCAAGCCCCATTCTGCTCTTTGGGCCCCGCTAGCTTGACCCGAGCTAGCATGAGTCTGTCGACATGGGCTGAGCGGTTCAGTCCCAGGTGCAGTGTAGACGCACCCTCCACGGCCTGTTCAGCTGAGACTCCAGTTTGCCCTCCATCCTCAGAAGGGGTCACTGCGGGCCAGTTCCCTCGGAGCCGTCATGTCGTTAGAGAAGCAATCAGGAAGGCCCAGTCACCCCGTCTGCTACGCTGCTCCATCCCCAAGCGATCTGCATCCCTGCACCGAGGACGGGGGACAGACTTGCCTGTATAATGAACGAGCTCAAACAAACCTTGGGTTAAATTGACACAGATTTATAGATCAATTCTAGCACAGAGTACAGTACTTACCAACAAGGAGATGCAAACTATAGCACTGAGATAACGTATGCTGAGTACTTGAGTTGAGTTTGGACCTGATTTTACATCGATAAAGAGAGAGATTTTGAAAATCAAAAAGATCTCTGCCTTGGGTTTACATGGATAAAGAGTTTGAGTCTGAAAACCAAAAGTCCGTGCAGAGCGTTGTGGCGGCTGCTTTCCAATTGCCAAGGCTTAAACAACACAAAGACACTCAAAAAGAATAGACATTTGTAGGGTTTTTTGTTTTTCTTGTAAATTTATAAGGCAAACTCTTTTATATAATAAATAAGGTACAATGATTAATCTGTGTGGACTTCTTTGAAACATATACATGTACATTCAGATGGATTTTGTTGTTTTCGCTTTTTTTTAACTGAAATGATACAAATTTTTCCTTTAATAAATTGCTTTTTTTTTCTTTTTTTAAATCTCTCGTTTTAAATAGAGTCAGTGCTTTCAGACGTTTTGGCTGTACACAAAAAACTAGAAAAGAACAATGTGTCCAAGATTTATTTCAGGAAAACAATCTACTTTGGGGTCTTTTTGTAAAGCAATTGTCCCAAATATGCAACCAACAGATGCAGAGAATTGAAAATATAGATACGTAATATATACGATTAAGATGGGTTTGGAACAAAATAGATTTTTAAAAAGGAAGAAATAATAGGTTACTTCCAAACCAATCCTCAAGCAAAACACCTCTTCAAATCAGCCAAGAGGCTCCCCCTTCTGCCTGGAATTAATAATCTGATGCTTAAGATTTAAGACATCTTCTTGAGTCAAATTCCCTAGCTGTGCCCCAATCAGCTGCTATTTAGCATTAATTCAATTCCAGTATGGTGCTAACAAAACTGTTTTGGCCGGTGCTCATGTAACGAGCCAGGTTTCCCCTCGGTGACGGGATATGAGTTGGGAATCTCACCGGATCCTTTTTTATTGCCATTATGGGATTCAGATCCAGGATCCATCGGATTCCTTTGCCATGGGACCAAGTCTACCCCTAGCTATGCCCATGAAGATGCCAACTGTGGAAGAGAGTCACCTTTCCTTGTTAGTTCACCTGATAAGATCAGAAGTCATTTACTTTAAAATAGACCCTTGAAAATGGCACAAGTCTGGGATCCATCCGACCCAGCATCAAGCTTGTGTAGCGTGGCCATGACCGAGCGCAGGTAATCGGAACGGGGTGTAGCTCCACCTTCTGGAGTCGTCTTTCATTTGAATCCTTGAAAAGTTACAAATTCTCCCAGAACTCTGATAGCAAAATCCATGTTTTTATTCTTTTTTTTTTTTTTTTTTTTACCATTTCTTCTTGTGTGTAAACCAACCTTTGCATTGCGGGGATGGGAGAGATTAAAGCTTCTAGGATTCACTTTAAGATGGAGTTAAAATTAAACCAGGGGCTGTTGGCTTTTTCCCCTTGGTTTCTCATCCAAATTTGGGGGTGCTGTCCACTCAAAAGTTAGTCCATGTTGCCAAAGGGTTTGCCCCAGCCATTGGTAGCAGCTTCACAATGTTCCTGGTTTTTTAAATAACCCCAGGTTTCTCTCTTTCCACCTGCTGTCAAACCAACCCATGCTCTCATTCAAACAGGAATTCATTCAGGGAGGTTCTGGCCTGGGAATCTATGAACAAGACACCCACAAAATGAATGATACAACCAGCTTTGTCAACTGCCTGGCAAACTATTTAAGGGGCTGTTGGCTTGATCCTCCCAGGTTGGGGTTCTGATCAGCCTTGGTGCAGCTCCATTGGGTCAATGAGCCCAGATTCCCCAGCAGACGTCAATCGGCATTGCTTTCTTGACAGAGCGATGGAAATGCTACTGGGGGGCCATAGGTTTTATAGCTGACTGGCTCTCTGTAATGGTAATTGTTTTTATTCCAGGTCTTCACTTTGACGTGGGATTTGTTAAAGATGTAATCATTGCTTGGTTTCAAATCCTACATAGAAAGCTGGCTAGATCGTCGGGCTCAACGGGTAGTGATCAACAGTTCAATGTCTAGTTGGCAGCTGGTGTCAAGCAGAGTGCCCCAAGGGTCGGTCCTCGGGCCGGTTTTGTTCAACATCTTCATTAATGATCTGGAGGATGGTGTGGATTGCACCCTCAGCAAGTTCACAGATGACACTAAGTTGGAGGGAGAGGTAGATACGCTGGAGGGTAGGGATAGGGTCCAGAGTGACCTAGACAAATTGGAGCATTGGTCTAAAAGAAATCCTGATGAGGTTCAACAAGGACAAGTGCAGAGTCCTGCACTTAGGACGGAAGAATCCCATGCATGGCTACAGGCTGCGGACCAATTGGCTAGGCAGCAGTTCTGCAGAAAAGGACCTGGGGATTACAGTGGAGAGGAGCTGGATAGGAGTCAGCGGTGTGCCTTTGTTGCCAAGGAGGCTAATGGCATACTGGGCTGCATTAGTAGGAGCATTGCCAGCAGATCGAGGGACGTGATTGTCCCCCTCTATTCAACACTGGTGAGGCCACACCTGGAGTACGGTGTCCAGTTTTGGGGCCCCCACTACAGAAAGGATGTGGACAATTGGAGAGAGTCCAGCGAAGGGCAACGAAAATGATCAGGGGGCTGGGGCACACGACTTATGAGGAGAGGCTGAGGGAACTGGGCTTGTTTAGACTGCGGAAGAGAAGAGTGAGGGGGGATTTGATAGCTGCTTTCAACTATCTGAAGGGGGGTTCCAAAGAGGATGGAGCTTGGCTGTTCTCAGTGATGGCAGATGACAGAACAAGGAGCAATGGTCTCAAGTTGCAGTGGGGGAGGTCTAGGTTGGATATTAGGAAGCACTATTTCATCAGGAGGGTGGTGAAGCCCTGGAATGGGTTACCTAGGGAGGTGGTGGAATCTTCATCCTTAGAGGTTTTTAAGGCCCAGCTGGACCAAGCCCTGGCTGGGATGATTTAGTTGGTGTTAGTCCTGCCATGAGCAGGGGGTTGGACTAGAACCTCCTGAGGCCCCTTCCAACCCTAATCATCTATGAGTCTGTGTCATGGCCAGAAGATGCTGGAACTCTGCCCAAGGCTGGAGACTCACCCTGGCAGTTCCTCCATCCCAAATAGAACAATTAGAAAAAGGAACACAACTGTGACTGAATATGACATGTGCTGGACACTGTGTAACCTGTCTGTCTGAGTGGTCGACTCCCTTGTTAAAAGTCTGCACCTCATGCCCACCTGGCCCGTGGCGAGCATCAACTCCCAGGCACCCCATCTTGTTCTGCCTTTGGCCATTAGATCCAAGAGGTGTCTACTGTCCGGACTTGGCAGCAGATAAGTATCTAATAGTAAGTACCTCAGGGAACTAGGCAGGCCTCCATTTGCACTTCAAGAGCAAGTAAGGGTGTAGATTTTTGTTGCAAGTGGGAGCAAAACATATTTAAATTGGAAGCTCTCAGGGGCTCTCTGATTTTCTTTTTTAAAGCATCATGGTGGAAACGTGTGTTTGGGACAATTACTTTCCAGGAACGTTCACAACACAGACCTGCAGACCATCGCAAAAGGAAACCAGGAAACACAGGAGACTTCACCGACATTCCTCTCTCTCATTTTTTTTTTAAACTCGACTGGGCAAGACTAAAAGAAATGACACACAAATATAAAGTCTCGAAACACCACGGGTTTTGTTCCCCCCCCCAAGAAACGACTAGCAGAGGCAGGGAAAACTAAAAGTAAACCAAAATCCCAATTCTCTGTGTCTCTCTCTCTCTGGAATTTTCAACAAGATAAATGAACAACTTGTTTAAAACCAAAAAGGCAAAAAAAGTAACAAAACATCCTCTTGCTAGAAAGAGTCGGATATACACGGGGGAGTTTACATCTGTATACAAAGGGCAAGCACTCAGCATATACTGATTAACAGTCCTGGTAATATTTGGTCATATGACAATCACTACTGAGTCTTGAAAGCGGAAAGATGTTGTCTGACGGAAGCAGAGGAAACAGGATGCGGCCCCTGACCCTCAGGAGGGCGAGAAGTTTACCAATGTATTTAATTTTTTGCACTCAACAGATTGCGTGTGGGTGGTGGAGGAATCCCACGGCATCTCCTCTATTCCCATCCAGGGTGAAATCCCAGCCCAAGGGTTGGGGAGCGGGAAGTGGGGGGGGGGTTGGATCTGGAAGAGGGCAAGAGGACAACTGTGGTGGAAGCATCTAGACACTTCGGGATCTTCCCGCCCCCTCCCCTTGGAAGTTGAACGCTCGGGCTACTCGTCTTTTGGAAGAACAGCAATTCAAAACTGCTACTTCCCGAGCGGCTATTGCTAACTTAAATGAAAGGGCGGGAGCCAGAATGGTCTTTAAGTATAGCCCCAGATTGCAAGCCATCGTGGCCACAACACCCTGCTCCCGTCAGTGGGGAAATATTGAGGAACACAAAGACCAGGTCTTCCTAGCTCCAGAGGGACCTCCAGTTACGTCACCCAGCGGGTATGTGTGCACTGCCTAAGGAATCAGTCCCGTCTACGCCAGTTGGCCACGTGGCTGCTCAAAGTGCTCATGTGCTCCATTGCGATGGCGAAGGGCCGGGTGGCCAGCAGGCAGAGTCGTGCCCACTCGACGCCAGCCGGAGACGCGCTGTTCTACGGTTGACCGAGCGTCCAAAGAGGAAGCAGCGATGCACGCAGGGCAGTTTGGCTCACCCAAGATGCACACAGGGTTGGAGAGAGAGCAATGGAGGGTCTGATCCTGAACCCATTGGGGTCCCGATTCTGCCACTATGGGACTTCCCGGCCCACAGCAGCCAGGATCCGAGCGGTCTACTCATTGCTATGGATGCTTCCAAGGGCACCACCCCAGCCAGGATCAGAGACATTCAGGAGTTGAAACACAAGCAGAGGAGTGCAAAAAACCCACCCCACCCCCTAGAGCATTAGCTGCCCCCTTCGCCCCTCCACTCTGGAGCTGGGGTGGGGGTCCCTTTAGAGAGAGAACCAGAAACACTAAGATCACAGCTCTGGTCACAGAGAAAGCTACTGCCAGGCAGGTTGGAAGGGTCTGTTTATTGTCCCTTACCCTGTGCTAGTAAGTAGCAGGGATACTGTAAAAGAAGCAAGAGGGAGATTGTGCTCCCCCCCCAGCCAGGTGCTTTGGGGGGAATTTTTAAAATCCCCCTCAGTCGCTGTTGTCAGTCACAAGCAGAAAGAGAGGAACGAAAAGAAAAGCAAAGCAAAGCAAAGAAAAGCAATTCAATCCCCACCGATTTATAATGCAATATACAGGTAGGTATATAAAAAGCTGACACTTTGGGGCGTTATGGGGGTGCGTTTAAAAATAAATCAGAAAACCAGAAGGAAATCAAGTCCCCCCACCTTGAAAAGAGAAACCAAGCCCAACCATTTGGTCTCCCGTTAAACTCCAGGTGGTATCAGCTGATGGCAGGGAGCAATTTCACGTGGGGGTGGGCTGAGTGGCAAAGCTAGCATGGGGGTGGGAAACGGGGCTTCTGGAGTTCGGCTCGCTCAGACTCTTCACTGGGGAGGGTTTGGGGATATAACAGCTGAGCTGGCCATGTAGGAACAAGAATGGGGTGAAAATACCATCCAAGCACTGCCCCCTTTGGCTTCCTGTTCTTGGGGGTCCCAATGAAATCGCCCTTCCACCACCAATCCTTGGTTTTTTTGCACATGACAGGCTGGGAAAAGGGGGATGTCCAGGGGGATACAGGCTACCGGCTGCTCCAAATTTTACAGCCAGAGGGTGGGGTTCCCCAAGTTTCTAACGCAGGGAACATTCTGATCTGGCCCTACCGTGGCTCAGATGCCAACCGGCAGATGTGACGTTTCATCATGGTGGGTGTAAGATCCCTCGCCCCCCCCCAGCTGGTGCCACTCAGATAAATCGCTAGACCCTTGTTGTTAGGGGAAGGGAAACCTAAGCAAAAATAAAGAGACATTCAGTGACTAGCCAGGCCCCCTCCTTAAAGTGCAAAAGTACTGATCTCCTCCTCAAGCCGCTGGCCAGCTGCAGGGCAGGGAGGGCTGCCAGGAAAGGGGATTTGGAGCCAGGGTTCCAAGGAGGCAGAATCCAGGTTTTGCCCCAGATGTCTAGACAGCCGAATCCAGCCCCATTTGCACTGGATGGGGTGGTGGAGTGACCCCCCGCTCCCCGGTGTCCGTACCAGCCCCGGGCAAGCCGAGCAGAACAGCTCAGATTGCTAGGCTCTGCTGGCGGCTGCTTGGAAACCTGGCTCACCGCAGAAGGACGGGGGCACTGTTCCTGCCAGGCTTAGGATGCCCTGCAATAAAACCACCCCACTTCCGTGCTAAGGTACCTTGGGGCTTCCCTTCTGTCCCAGCCCTACTGCTTCCATGGGCAGGCCCGGGGCTGGACTGTGTGGGGAGGGCTGCCCCAGACCAGGGCAAAGCCTTGCCCGTCCCCCAGCCAAATCACTCTGTGCAAAGGGGCTGCCTAGACTCCCGTGGCCCCTTCCGGCCCGTGATCAGCTGATCAGCCCTGGCAGGGAGCTGCCCCGGGCTCACCCCTCTAGGGAGCCGGATCCCCCCACCCTGTGAGCGAGTGCTGCTGGGGAGGGTAAAGTGCTACAAACAGGGCACGGCGGGCTGGGCCGGGCCCCCCCCAGCATGTGTGAACTGGGGCTCGAGACAGCAGCAGGCAGGGGGCCGAGCTGGGGGCAGGACTAATTAACACACCCCAGTCCCGCCATGGGGCCAAGCTTCCCCCCCGTGTCACTGGATCCCTCCCCCGGGGAGGCAGGTCACCCAGGAGGCTCCCTTTCCACCCACCAAGCACATCAAAGCCTCCGGCCAGCCCTAGCATGGGACCTGGGTGTGGTGCATGGGACCCCCCCCCTGCCCCCAGGATCTGGGGGCAGCCAGGCACTGGGGGACACCATGGAAATTAGGCCTTTTTCTGCTGGGTTTTGAGGGATTTTTTTTTAAATCCAAACTAGGGGTGCCTCTCCTCGGGTCAGGTCTGGCCGCCCCCGGAAAAGCCTTGGTGGGAAACTGGGACCCAGCTCAGCGAGCAGAAGGGGAGACACAGGAGGAAGTTTTAGTTACTCTCTGGAGTGGATTCTGAGAGTGGATCCAGAGTCATCCATTGGCAATGGGGCTGGGACGGATCTGATTTTAGTCTCCACCACGGTCAATCCGGAGTCACTCCTGATTGCAATAAGCAGGGCTCAATTCTTATTTTAGCTACCACTGGGGTTTATCTGGAGTCACCTCGATTGCACTGAGGGCAGGGCCAGATTTTGATCTCAGCTCCCAGTCCGGAGTCACCCTTGATTGTAAAGAGGGCAGGGCCAGATTCTAATCTTAGCTCTCTGTGATCAATCTGGAGTCACTCCCAATTGCAATAGGGACAGGGCTGGATTCTGATTTTAGCTCCCCTGCGGTCAATGCAGGGTCACTCCTGATTGCAATGGGCCAGGGCTGCGTTCTGATCTCAGCTCCCCTGCAGTCAATCCACAGTCACTCCCAATTGCAACGGGTACAGAGCTGGATTCTGATTTTTGTTCCCCTGCAGTCAATGCAGAGTCACTCCTGATTGTAATGGGGCAGGGCTGGGTTCCTATCTGATGTGGAGTTGTACCGCATTGCCATGAACAGAACAGAACTGAGCCTCTGGTGTATTTCTCTCTTGGCCGCAAGCTTTGAGCAGAGGGGAGCGGCCCCTCCCCGTTTCACTCACCTTGGGGAGGAATTTATTGTAACCCTTTGTGTCCATCATTAAAAAAAAAAAAGGCACAGCCCTCCTTGGGGTTTTTTTCAGCGAGGTTTTCCCTTCCCGTCTGCTCCTGCCTGCCCGGCAGTACAAGCCACGCCCCTGGGGCTGGGTGGGGGGCAGCTGGGGCTGGGGGAGAGCACAACCGTGAATGGAGAGCCCTGGAGTTCCCCCTCCCAGACCAGCCCCATTATAAACCCGCTGATGTGCAGGGCTTTGCCCTCCCCGCCCCCCCGGTACCGATCCAAGAGTTACAGGTAGTTTCACACATGACCCCCCACCCCGGCCGGCCAAAGGCTGGTTAGTGCAAATGGTTTCCTAAGCTAGTAACGTTGAGAAAGAAGTGGAAGAACGTTGTCGTTCCTCGGCCCCTCCGTCCCGGCCCCCACACCCTGCGGGAGGAACAGGCTCTGAGTGCCCCCGCTGGGGAGAGGGGCTGGTTCCCCCTCACTCACACACACTACGTGGGCCCTACTAAAACGAACACGGATCGATACTGGAGAACGGACGACGACGTTGCATGGCACTGGAGAGGGAGAGGGGGATCTACACACACGGTCCCCCCCTTCATCCCGCCTGGTGGTGGGGGGTATTCAGGAGCTGGGGGGGCAGCCCCACCGAACAGCTGGCCTGGTCAGTAGTATACGCAGCAAAGCATCTAGGAAGGAGCTGGGGGGGGCACCCCTCTCTTATAGAAAAAGTGCAAAGTGGCTTCCAACCCGGGGGGGAGGGGGGTTTCCACACCCCTCACTGTGCTTCTTGGTATTAAAAACGGGGAGGGGGGAGAACTGGGGGGGGGTGGAAGCCAGGGGGCGCCGTGGGGCAGGGGAGGTGCTTTGCCGGAGCCCTACCCGGGAGCAGCTGCCTCTCATCTTGGGGGTGTGTGTGTGTGTGTGTGTCTGTCTGTCCGTCCATCCCGCTAGCCGTGGGCCGCCCAAAGTCAGCTGACACGCTCCGAGACCGGCGTCCTGGTATCCACGGCCTCGTCCCTGCTGCTGGGCCGGGGCAGGGCGGCAGGCGGGGGCGCCGAGGAGGAGGTGGACACAGCGTCTTTGCGCTCCCCTTCCCCTCGGTGTTTGTAGAGCGCGGCGGGCGGCTGAGTCTTAGCCAGCTCCTGGGGGCAGCCGTCACTCTCCGGCTGCCCCTTGCTGCTCAAGTCCTGCGCCTCGGGGGGGCTCACGCTGTCCTTGGGGCTGGGGGGGGGCCGGGCCAGAGGCTCGGGGGGCGGCTGGTGCGGGGGGTGGGGCGGCTGTGGCTCCTTCCGGCTGGGGGAGGGGGAGGCGGGGGCAGCATGGCCCCCTCGCCCCTTGGGGCTGCTCTCCTTGCTCCGGCGCCCGGGACGGGGCCCCTTGGGGCTGCGCTCGGGGGGCGGGGGGGCCACCTCCAGGGCCACGGCCTCGCGGGTCTTGCGCTTCTTGATGGGCAGCACCGTCTCCTGCACGGCCTGGAAGGACGGCTCCTTCACCACCTTCTTCTTGGCCTCGGCCACTGCTGGCCCCACAGGCCCCGCCGCCACCCCCGGCTTGCGCCCCCGCTTCTTGGGCAGCGTCTGGGGGTCCGACTCCAACTTCCGCTTGCGCCCGGGCCGCCGCCCGCCCGCCCCTGGGGCCGCTGAGGTGGTGGCCGAGCCCCCCGCCCCACCGGCGCCCCCTGGCGGCCCCGGCTGGAACGGCATCTTGACCAGCAGCTTGCCGGAGCTCTTCTCGATCACCCGCTTGACCTGCACGCCCTCCGAGGCGGCAGCCTTGGGCCGGGCCGAGCCGCTGCCCTTGGGCCTGCCCCGCCCGCGCCCCGTCCCGGGGCCCTTCTGAGCTTTGGCCTTCTTGGGGGGCCTCTGCTCTCGCCGCGAGGGGCTGCCCCGGCCTGTCACTGTGAAGTCGAAATCGTTGGGGTCCAGAGAGGTGTCTCCTACCTTTTCGAAGTAGGCGATGAGCTCCACCTTGGAGCGGAAGGCCTTGCCCTGGGGGCTGCAGGGTCAGAAGAACAAGGGTTAATAGGATTCACCCCCCCCAAAACGGGCAGAAGGAAGTGGGTGAGCAGGGGATCCCTCACACCCTGCCCGAGATAGGAAGGGGGGCTGATGGCAGCCCCCCCCAGAACACCAGCTCTGGGGGCTCAGTTCCCCCAGCTTGTCCTGCTGCTGCTCAGCAGGGGATTGGGGGAGTCTGGAGATGTGGGGGACACAGGGGGGGCCCCACCATCCAGGGGGCTCTGGCTTCAGCTCTTGGGGATTGAGAGTCCCAGCGGCCTCATGCACTTGTGTCTTTTGCCAGCCAATGGGCAAGGCTGGGAGCTCGGGTCTCTCCAGGGGCGTCTTTAACCAGACCCCACGGTGATACTGTAAGGCCCAGCAGACATTGCTCAAAGCAGCACTGCATGCTGGGGGCTGTAGTCCTGCCCCCCCCCCACTAGAGGCCCAGTACACGCTGGGACCCATAGTGCCCCTCCCCCCACCAGTGACCCAGTGCACGCTGGGAGCTGTAGTCCCCCTCCCCCCACCAGTGACCCGGTGCATGCTGGGAGCTGTAGTCCCCTCCCCCCACCAGTGACCCAGTGCACGCTGGGAGCTGTAGTCCCCCTCCCCCCACCAGTGACCCGGTGCACGCTGGGAGCTGTAGTCCCCCTCCCCCCACCAGTGACCCGGTGCATCCTGGGGGACATAGTCCTGCCCCTGCCCCACTCACTTGATCAGGTAGACATCGTACTTTCCCGCTGAGCGGCCTGACTTCCTCTGCTTGAGCTTGCGCGTCCAGCCCTCAGGCAGCGTGGGGTCGTCGTACATGGGGCCACGGTCCCGGATGATGGAGCGCCGCTGCTTGGGAGAGGCCGAGGCCTCGGGGGCCGCCGGGGCGGCCCCGGCTCCTTCGGACGTCTCCGCCTTGCCCGCCTCGGCCGGCTCGGCTTCCCTCTGCTTCTCCTTCTTCATCTTTTTGGCCTTTGGGGACTTGTCCTTGAGGCCCTGCAGATTCTGGTCCTCAGATTTTTCTTCCCTGGAGGGGATCAAAGAGACGAGTCAAGGCCGGGGGGTGTATCTGGGAGGAACCCCAGTCAACTCCCCCTTAAATATCCCCCTGGCTCCTGGGCCCACCCAGGGGTGTGTGTATGTACGCGCGCGTGCAGAGCCTGGTGTGACCCCGATCTCGGTCTGGGGGGGTCTGTGCAGCGCCTGGTGTGACCCCGATCTCGGTCTGGGGGGGTCTGTGCAGAGCCTGGTGTGACCCCGATCTCGGTCTGGGGGGGTCTGTGCGGCACCCGGCATGTCAGGGGGTCCTGATTGCTGATGCTCCCACAACAGTTACACTCCCAACAGTGAGCCAGAGGATGGGCCTGGGCAGGCCCCAGCCGGCTGGAAGGAAAGCCTGGACCACCAGTGTCTCCTGTCTCACCCGCCTGCGCCCAGACTCAGAGCTCAGTCCAGCAGCAGGGAATGGGGCAGGCGTCTTTCAGCAGAGGGGTCTATCAGCCAGAGGGCAGGACGGGAACCTCTGACTGGCAGCAAATAAGGTGTCGATTTATAACGAGAAAGGGGGACTGATCTCTAAGAGCAGCTGATTTCAGGACTCGCTCGGATTCCCAAAATCTTGAGTGGACGTGGCTTCATTAGCCTGTTTTTCGACAGAACAGATCCGGGCAGGAAATCACTGGTCAGTCCAAACTGAAACGTCTGGACATTTTCGACTGAGAAGCCTTGAAATGAATCATTTGGACTCTCTCATTTCAACACAGTCAAAATAACAGATTGTAATATCACTAACTCAGCCGCGACACAGAATAGGCGTGTTTTGTACGATAGGACGTTCTGCCATCCAAACCAAGCACCCAGTGAGATTCTAGCTGGAGGCGCTCGCTGCCTTTCTCCGAGTTAAGACTTTCAGATATTATAGTGGATATGTTCTATTCAACAACATGCTGTCGATGCTATGAACTCTTTTCTATGCTGTGTTTGACATCGCAAGGCTCCAGTAAGGTTTGGGAGTCTTCTTTTATTTCGCTTTGTTTAGGCTTCAGAGACAGTTTCTATCCTAGCTCAAGCCCCTGCTATCGCGTAGGCATACCTGGGAAAGTTAAAAAGAGCCGAAAATGGCTGAGAACTTAAAGCTGGTCCATTGCAGGCTGCTAACGGCAGCGCTGCCCGAACCTGGCATTAGTCTGGACGACGAGTGCTCAGCCCTGCCCGGAGCTTGTCCCGTCACTTTACGCTGACTCACCAGGGGCCCTCGAAGCGTCAGGGCCCCCCCCCCACGCACAGGTGACAACCTGGCAACCCTCCCATAGCTTCACAGGACACGTATAAAATGTTTTGACATCAACAGCCGTCAGTCCGATAAGGTCAAAATGTGCTAGACTCTTATTTTGCTTCGTTTAGACTTTCAGATCTCCTATTTGTACATATTTTATTTCAATTATTTACAAGATTTATGATGTTTTCACATTATAGAAACAAACCTACTGGATAAGGTTAAAGCCTTTTCAACTCATTTCATTCAAACTTTTAGATTGTATAGTTATATGTACAGTCTATATTTCATATATTCTATTGTGGTATATTTGAAATAAAACATTTGAACATCAAAATGAAACTACACAGTAACTATGTTTAAACTACCGGTTCATTTCCTTTTCTTTAGACTTAGGTGACTAAATGGTGTCTAGTTTAACGTGTACATTTAGACTTTCAGAGAAGATCAACCTATTTAGAGAGTTAAAATGGGCATTCAATATTTTATATTATATTGTTTTGACATAATCTAAACAAAATGACAAATTAAGGTAAAATGGCTTTAGACTTATCAGAAGATTAACTTTAGTACTGGTTTATGTTTATGAATATTTATATCTAACATTTTATATGATCAAAACTATTTGATAAGGCAAAAATGTTTCACTTAGACTTATTCGAATTTTTTTTCTTTACAATTGTAATGTTCTATTTTACAGCTATTAAATATTTTTATAACTGCTTAATACATGACAGCATCAAAATATTCAATAAGGTTAAAACATTTCATTAGTAGACTAGTCATTTTTACATGGTTATATTTTTATATCTATAGATTTAATATTTTATATCAAACAACTTGAGAAGGTAAATGTGTTTTGTTTAGACTTATATGAGAAAAATATTCATTTTAATATCTTCGTTTTACATATCGTTAATTCTATTTTATGTAACCATTTTCTGGGATTGAAATGACTGGATATTTCCAAATTGACATTTTTCAGAATTTCTGTGGCCACGTCAATCTGTTTCGGAGGTCAAGCCCTGCTTCAAGTGGGCTGGATTTCCCACGGGACACCAACCCCGGTTCGTGGCCAGGTCCAGCCACACGTTACGGGGTGGATGCTGGGTTGCTGGCCATGGAGTGGCGGCTGGGCTGATCCAAGGAACAGAGGTGATGGAGCTCCTGAGAGGACAGTGAGCCTAAAACACAGGCTGAGGGGGGCTGGTGGCTCCCCGAAGTACCTCAGGGAGGGACACGCGCTACTGCAGCTGAAGGACAATGCTGACACAAGAACAAATGGGGCAAAACTGGCCACGGATGAAGGAGGCGGGGCCCCCGCAGGTTTCCAGCCCCTAGCAGGAGCGGGGCAAACGAGAACGCGGTGTGAAGGGTAACCTCGAGGACACGTTCTCCAGTCCTCCGTTCTCGGCTCTGGCGTGTTTCATTTCTGCTGAGGTCTCCCCGCCTAAATCAGCAGCAAACCCGGCTGCCGAGATAAATGCAGAGGAGGCGGCTAGGGAGAAAAGAGGAACCGTCTCGCTGCTCCGAGCTATAATTAACACTGCGCCCCCCCCCCCCCATGTTGGTAAACAACAGACGCCTGCTGCCGCTCCGCTTCCTGGAAACCCCGTGGCGAAACGGGAGCCCCTGGCGCGACGCTGAGGCGGAGCAACGCCCCTCGGGCCCGGCGCTGCAGATTCGCCATACGCCAGGGCTGGGGGGTCAGGGCCAGCAGGCTCAGAGCTGCATTCTCACATCAGCCCCGAGCCCCGAGACGCACGCTGGCAGGTGATCTACGGCTGGGGGCATGGCATAATTCATAAACCTAGTCACCCACTCGCGAGGCGGGGTTTGAGCATGTGGGACGGGGGGTGACTCCAGCAGGATCCCATTTTTATAGATGGGGAAACCGAGGCACAGAATCTGCCCCTGTGTGGGGTTCTAGGGGCTCTGCGCCATACTCTCCACCAAACTGCAAGCCAGTCAGTCAGCCTAGAGGGATCAGACAGAGGGGACAAGTCCAGCAGGGAGAGACGCGCTCCCAAGCCACAGGCGGGCCCCCAGCCCTTGCTCTGGGCACCTCCATGGCCAGTTGCCACCGGCCGGAAGCCAAGGGGGCCCAGCTGGCAGAGAAGAGAACAAACCATGGCTGGCTCAGTTCCCCCTTTAAAGAGGAAGCTCGGCTCATCAGCACACCTGGGCGGATGCCGTGGGCTACATCCAGGCCAGCTGCACCCGCTCACTGCGATCGGCACAGGCTCTTGGCAGACTCAGGCAGGGGCCTGCGTCCTCCTGGAAAAGACAATTTCCGACTTGCAGCACGTGGCCACGAGTCTGTTTGGGGAGGAGGTTTGTCCTTCCCCTTAATGAGACGAGCCTAATGCCAGCACTCCGATGCTGCGTGTTTCCTGGCTGGTTGGGGCTGTATTTGCCTCAGACCCTCTCTGCAATGTGGATGATGCTAGCCAGCTCTGCCCCAGGGTGGGTGCATCTCAGCGGGGCCGGATGCGTGTGGGGAGGTCGCTCCGCCCCAGAGGCGGCTGCATCTCAGCAGGACCGAGTGCACGGGTTGAGGCCACTCCAGCTCAGAGTGGCTGCATCTCAACAGGGCCGGGCATATGAAGGGAGGATGCTCCGCTCCAGAGGTGGCTGCCTCTCAGGGTAGAATGAAGCACTTGGCCTTCCCTCGGCTTAGCCCCCTGGGGGACAGGGAAACCCTTGACAATTGTTCATCACAGGCATGGCCCTGCACAGACACCTGGCCAGCTGGGGGCTGACGGGCTGGGCACTGCTATCCCGCACTGGCGGTTAGCACAGCAGCCGGGATCAGGGGCCCGGTGCACCAACACTTTCCCTCCCCCCCGTTCACCCATGATGGGGGCCCCTGGTGGCTGACAGTAGTGTTGGGGCTCGGGGGGGGGCAGGGGTCTTGCCCCAGCCCCGCTCCAGGGATCACAGTGACTGGCACATCTGGGGCTAAAAATAGCCCCAGGGGAAGTCTTATGGCAAATGCTCCCCACAAAGCCAGCAGGATCCATTGGCGGGGGGGGAGGGGACACAGCTAATGACGCCTGCTCGCAAGCCCCCACGCAGCGTCCCCCCCTCATTGTGAGGGATACAAATTCCCCCAGGCGAGATCAGGCCCCCCCAGCATGGCGGTGAGCGACGGGCCCTGCCCCGAGGAGCTCGCGGTCTAACCCTCAGAGGAGGGCAGAGGGATCCGGGGCAGGGCCGGGAATGGAACCCCGGCGTCCGGGGTCCCAGCCTCGGCCTTTCCCCTCTCGGCGGCGCCGGGGGGCTGCAGCCAGGCCCAGCCTCAGGGCAGGGGCCAGTGCAGTGCCTGGCATGATGGGGAGCCCAACCCTCCAGGGTCCCCGGGAGGTGGTGCGAGGTGGTGGACCCCACTCCTTTGGGCCAGCCAGGGAGAAACGCGCCCCACGGCCCAGCCAGGCAGACTGCAGCCCCCTCCAGCAGTTCCCCCGATGGGCACACGGTGGCGCTCGGGGCTCACAGACCAGCTGGCTCTGGCCGACACCAGCTGGGAGTGCCAGGCCTCAGCCCTCCCGTTCGACACCAACTTCCCACCATTCCCGGGGGGGGCCACTGGGCACTGCGGGGCCCCCCCAGGCTGAGATCTGAGCATGCTGGATGCTGCACAGACCCTGACCAAGATGGAGGCTCCCCCCCCAAAACAGGAGCCACAGAGACACCCCCCCACCAAAATCAGAGCCCCCATATGCGCCAGGCACTGCACGGTGCCCCTGAGC